CCAAGGTACATGCACGAAAGAACACAAGATGCTATGACCTACGTTAGACATTACGGTCGTCCTGACCTTTTTATTACTTTTACATGTAATCCTCGCTGGGACGAGATAAAAGAGCTCTTACTTCCCGGTCAAAGATAATATGATCGACATGATATAATTGCAAGAGTGCATGAACTTATTGACAAAAGGTAAAATATTCGGAGAAGTGAGATGCTATATGTATTCAACAGAATACCAAACTGTAGAGAGGTTCAGGTAGTTGTAAGCTATAACTTATCGAATAGGTTATGATAATAATCATTATCTTATACTAAATTAATATGTATAAAATATTATTTCAAAAATCTTAATTAATTTAAATTTCAATAGATTTAACAAAATTTAATCTTGGCAGGTTACATACATTTATATACTTAAACCCGGCAACGACGGGTAATTCAGCTAGTATAATAATAAGAGCCGTTTTCACTCATTTTTGTTAATTAAATATAGTTATACAGGATATTTATAGAGAAATTATATCTAAATAGAAAATTTTTGGAATACTGCTTTTTATATATAAGATTATTATAATAATAATAATAATAATAATAATAATTATAATATATATATATAATATTTTTTCTATATATCTAAAAAATCATCTCCGTTCAAAATCGTTATTCGTACACAATGATACCTATCATTTCATTAAAAATTTAACAAATCCATTGTAACGACCTATAAACGAGGTGCACTCCACCCCCTACTGTACAGCAGAGCGAGGCTCATTCGGTTCTTTTTTTTTTTCATTTTTTTTTTTTTGTATTCTCATTTTTAAGTTCTCTTAAAGTTTTTCATTGATTTAAATGATTTAAATTATAAAGCAGTGGATATTATCATTTTTTTTTTTGTTTTTGATAAAATATTTAGAATTTTATTTGGTATAAAAATGTGGTTTAAAAAAAAAAAAACACATTTTATAAAGTGTAATATAATGCATATAATTGCATATTTAGCCACTTTTTCTTTGCTTATTTGCATCATATTTGACACTTTTTAAATGCATATAAATCCGGGCTCTATTTATAACCATTGAAACGAAATAAAATAATTCCGTTGCAAAACATCGAAACCAAAATAACCTACATTATTAGAGGAATCGGTGTAAAGTTTACTACATTAAACAACATTATAAATATTTAAATAGTTTATATAATTTTAGAAACTGAATACAAAAAAACTATCTATACATACTCGGGTAGGTGTAATACATATTTTTCACCGAAATAGCGAATAATACGCTGAGAATAGATTAAACACGAGAAGAAGGCATTTAAATTTGTAAAAATTTTAGGAATTTTAGGGGTTAGAGATCCGACTTACCCTCAATAACACACATAAAATATTTTATTAAATACATTTTATAATCCATCGTAAAGTAGCAGTTCACCTTAAACAGTTCCACGTTCAGCAGTCAGGATAAGTTTTTTTTGTCTTTGTTCGTGTGCGTGATGTGTATTATTTTTCAAGAGAATAACGACGAATTATGAAAAAAAGGCCAAACAGAAAAAATTGAATACACCGGGTAATATTTTTACTTCTTATCGCAAACATTATTATAATGCATGCATCGTTATTAAATTATTACGGCAATTATAATTTAATTGTCGGTTCGTTTTTGATGTTTGAAAATTGATACTAAACATAAAACACACGTTGATAACATTGTAAAAATTTGATACATTATATTTACTTTATAAAACCGACCAAGTGTCATATTATATAAGTACAGAGGGAATACCGCAAGCGATTCTAGAAAAGCTGTGTTTTTTTTTTAATGCACAAGTTAAGAATCAGGATGACCCTGTTATATGCGTATAGAATAACAAAAATGTTACACAATCTGAAGCAATATCTTATCTACCAAATATGAATGAAAAAAAAAATTAAAAATATATTCGTACATATAATAAACAAATAAATATAAATATATATACTACTTTGTATATTACTATTAAACATGTGTTTTTTTTTAATCGACTGTTGGCGAAGGAACAACGTGATAAATCGATATCTATAACTGATATAATACATACACTCATAATAACTAATAATTGTCTCGTGAGACCCAATTGGTAAGTTTTGATGAGGAGCTATTTAGGAGATTGTCAGTGATCTAATTTGGGGTATTCATCAAAAGTGGAAGAGGTTAGAGATTATCAGTAACCTTACCCTAAAATATTTTATGTGTAATCGGTTTAAATTAGTTGAGCATAAAAGTGAAAAATCGAAATTAATTGTATGACGTATAGTAAGGAATAAATATTAAACAAAATTCAATATAATTCTCTAAATAGGTTTTAAAAAAAATTACTTTACTGGTTATAGGCAGAAACGAGAGTAGCATTAAAATTAAGTTAGGTATACATTTATAATGACAACATAAATTATCTTTATGTATTATTTTTTTATGTATGTTATAAATGTTTAACACATACTTTACTTATTTGTAAACCATTTTAATATTTTAAATAATGAGGGTTTATTTGTTATTCTGGACATTTTGAAGTTATATTTTGAATACATTCACTATTCAAAATATTAAGCAGAACCCTTACTAATTACAAAAAACAAATATTTTTCCACTATACATTGATTTTTTGATAATTTTTAACACGTTTTTTAATATTTCACACTTCATTACTTTATGTAATATGTATTTGATGGTTACAACATATTTAAATACGTGTTTTGCAACTGGAGATTTTAGTCCATAATTTTTTAATGTATGATATTTTTCTAGTATTTTTTCAAAGCTATACTCCACTACTAACCAGTCTAGTAGATATATAACACTATTATTTACATTCTTTACAATCAAATTTATTAAAATAAAATAAAAATCCGTTTGAAATAGTGGCATTTACATAACTACATATTATAAAATGCGAAGGTTCTATAAGGGACTGTATACAACTCTCATACGCACATTTATTTTAAAATAGCCACTTTTTTAAACTTAAATAAAACAAAGCGTCATGCGATTAAATGGATTTACATTCCCCGAAGACTCGTGTTCTATATGTATCAATAAATCATTAATTCATGTTTCTTCTTTTAATTTCGATTATCCGACATTAAATCGGTAACCATGTGATTATATTAATATGTATATATCATAATATACATATTATGATATAAGTATATAATATGCGAGTATACTAAAAATTAAAGTATAGTTGTTATACATTTAGGAATTCAATGGAAACTTAGGTAATGCATAAAAAATCTTTAGACAGTGTTATGATTTAGTATTTTTATTTAATTAAATAAATATTTCTTTTAAAAACAGGTTAAGATATACAGGGGAAAAAATATAAATATATAATAAAAATAAATGAAGTGAACATCAATACTTATAATGAAGTATGTAATAGTGTGAGGGGGTTTGGAAATGATCGCTTGACGACTAAGGGGATATTTCGATTTGGTTTGTAGCTGTACCGAGCGCTAAACTCGCGAAAATATTACAATTAAACTAATTTTAAAAATAATAATAAAAATGATTTATGTATAAAAATAATATTAAAAATAAATACAATGTAGAAACTATTAAGCCCTTAAGCAATTCAAAGACAATAAAAAGTATATTAAACACTTAAGAGAATTAAATAATTATAATTAATGATATTAAGTATAATATATTATTTCGAAAATAAAGAAAAGGAGAAAAACACTAGACTTGTATATGATTTAACTTTCAAGTAATATGATAATGATAATTATTATATGATACGATTAATAATAATTATAATATAAATATTATTAATATATAATTGTTACAATTATTATCATTCAATATGGACGACAGGGAGTACAATTAAAACAAGGTAACTCAATGATTATTGAACCATGTCCCTTAACAATGAAATACGCTAAATGTATAATTCTTGTACTATTAAATTTAAGAAATAAAATATGACCTCCGGAAATATAGTCAAGTGATTATTCAAAAACACTCAGTCCTGTTTGTGCGTTTAATCTTATTTCATACTTAAGACACATAAATAAACATAAATATAATATTTTTCTTTCAATATATATTTTTCTATACGATTGGAGATCAAGAACATGACATGTAAATTTAGCTACTTTGACTCAAATATAATCATTTAATTGAATGATGATTGAGAGTAAATAATAAAATTAAAAATTAAATAAAACTAATTTCTATATGTACCTATATCAAAAATTAATTAATTAATTAATTATCAATAGCCCACGTTCAAGAGATCTATAAAAATTTTGCTACATTCAAATTATTATAACAACATTAATCTATATGTTACTGAATTAATCCTTATAGTTGAGGCCAAGAACAATTTATTATCTATCACTGGAGAGTAGATTGATGAGTGAAAATATTAAAAAATATAATATACAACTGCTTATTTTTTTTTTTTTTTTATGAAACACATAACGTATTCTGAATCATAATATAAAGAGGAGATCATACACAAAAAATAATAATAATAATTAATAATAAAATAAAATTAACAATAAGAATTTAAACCTTAAAATACTAAAGACACAATATTATTATTAATAAAAATAATAATTGCTTATTCTATGCTCCTATAAAGATAACTAAAACTATTTATCACATTTTTCCTTTAACATTACATCATAACCTAAACTTAATAATGATATTATTAACAGAGTAATCACTAAGAATATAACTGATCGGAGGGAAGAAAATACAAAATTTCGTGTACCTTTGTGGTAGCTAACAATACTTTGTAGACACAGTAAGCATATAGTAAGTAAAACCAAAATAAAAATTATACTGATCATAATAATATGGATATAAGTGAAAACGAGAAAATAAAGATAATAATTGAAAATAAAAAAAATCAATAGTAGCTTTCTATCATTTTTGGAGTCGAAATATAATTATAATAATAATAATAATATTGATATTAATAAATAAAAACAAAAATTAAAATATAATACACACCTGCGGAATATGAGGTAGAAAAAAATCGAAATATATTTCGATGTTTATATTCTGAATTATTACACGAAAGAAGGGGGAAAAGACGAGTCTAATATAATATACGCTCTCAATGAACTAGAGTTTAGCTAACACTGAAGTTTCCTTCTCGATGGTCGGGGTAAAAAAAAAAAAGACGCAAAAGAAAAACAGAAATATTTTTGCGTGGAATTTTCCTGTATAAAATATTATAATATACGTACACGTTGACGAGAGAAGTTTTGTTCAAATGCCTACGGGGAAAATAATAAAATACAAAAAAAAAAAAAAACAAATAAAAACCATACGACTTCGGTTTCGGCTTTCGTCGTACTTGCAAACTATAGAGCAATGAAGTATAAAAACTGAAATAAACTGAACACAGTATTACTATTCTCATAAGCCACCGTGCACGCTGCAGTCCTGCACCTGGTACGGTTTCTTGACCGGCGGCTCGGCCGCGGGATTGTTGTTCTCCGACTTCTCCGGCGTCGCGGCGCTTGTCGTGCTGGCCACCAATGCGTCGATGAGCGACACGAGTTCGTCCACCTCGGCCGTCGAGCACGCCAGCAGACCGCACAGCTGAACGGCCACCTCAGTGGCCGCGGCCGGGTCGATACCGCGGATAGCGGACAGCATGCACGAAGCGGCCATTACGGACGGTTTTTTTACAATGAATTCGGGTTCTGCGGACAAGAGAAAGACAAACGAGAGCGATTAATAAGTATACAAGTGTTTAATATAATATTATAATACATACACGATTAGGCGTAAAGATATAACAGTGTAATATGTAGGTGGTGAAATATATACTCGTGTATTAATTCATATAGACTTACAAGTTGTAATTATATGTTAGATACACACCGTGTAATAACGGCACATAGTAACAGAGTAGTAGTCTAAACACCTGCACCGCGCAATGCCGTGGAGGAGAGGGAAGGGCGCGCTTTAAATCCGAACGCATAAAACACACGTCCGTACGTATTATTTTTATACGCGTGGTCGACTTTAGAAATACGTTTTTTTTTTTTAATTTTTTTTTTTTCAACGCCAATAAAACGTCGTCACACACTGTAGGTTGTGCAGTGGGTAGGTAAGCCGTGTGTGTGTGCACGCAACGCGACGAGTTCGGTAACGTAACGCAGATAATGAGAGATATTAATTGTGCATTATCGTAGTATTAGCCGCGTGGCCGCGCACAGATATGAGTATATGACGACGTTTACATTGTGTCAAACTACAGCAACCCGGATATTGATGCGATCCTAATATTTTTGTAAATGGTTTTTTCAACGGTAAAATCCGAGTCCGTTTTACTTCAGACTTCAATTGGTTATTACTTAAAATTAATTCACTTAATTTGAACTAAGGTATTTTTTCATTTTTTAAAAATATTTTTAGGTTTTCATGCATTTTTTAATGGGGGTACAAGCATACCAACTCATTATGCATACAATACGTGAAAAATAATGCTCGTGGAAAGATGAATCTGAATCTTGTATACGTACAGCATGTACCGTATATTTAATATATGTAAAAACCGATACCGTTAAAAAATATAAACATAATATTTCATAACTCTACACCACTATACGGAATCTTGTTTCAAAGAAAAGAAAAAATCTGGGGTAGGTTGGGTGTATCGAAGAATTAGTTTGAAAATCGAATTCCATTAGAGTGTGTATAATATACAGCGCTTCCCCCGGCGGAATATATGGGGTTAGAATATTGTTTTTTTTTTCATACATCGGTTCTCAGACATATAAATATCAATGGAGTGAGAATAAAGTATAATGGGTATTCAGATTATTGTGAACGGGTAGGTACTAGGGTACTAGTGCACGTTATGAAATAGGGCCCCATTTACAGATGTCGCGATGGCACGTCCGTCACAACGACGACGCAACGCCTTATCTTCTTCGTCGTCTAGCGACAAAACTGAAAATACGTCATGATTACAATATAATAAAACGTGTAAACTAAATACTACCGGAGAAGCCTCGAAGACCACCCTCTTAATAACAAGACAAAACGGTTTTTAGAGGGAATCCGTCGATCGTTAGAGTCGTAGCACTCCAGACAGAACCGTATACATGCAACAAGAATAACCATATCCAAACAGACGACGGGAGCAGTGATGTTTCGATCGATAGATTTTAACCATTTAACAGACTATTATCAATTTAATAATTGAAAAAAAAAAGAATTAAGTAGCAAGACGAGTGTTATTATACCCAGTAAAAGAATCACAACCGAAATTTCAAGGGATCATAAAGAGACACTGCTCGGAGACGAAGAGAACACGGATGTTTGACTTGGTTAATTGCAGAGAAGTATAATTCAATTAAGCGTAAAAGGAAATACTATCTCCGGTCTAACACTTAAGGTCTTAACACGCACATCCATCAAAACGTCCTTTTCCATTTACTCCGAGAGAATACAAGGGTCATTTACACTGCATGAGAAATAACTTTTAAGGAAAAGATAGTTAAAAGCTTATTTCCAAGGTCTTTATTTTAAGAATAAATATACCGTTAAAAATATATCAAATGCAAACTTTTTTACAAATGTACGGTAGAACGAAAAAGGCGTGCATTTACCCGGTGTTTACCGATGAACACAGGTATAAGTAAAACGTATCAAATACTATACTACAGAAATATTACTCAATTACTCAATGTTAGCATGTATGGTTGTATTTATATAGGTACTATTAGTTTGTGTGCTATATCTTACGGAAATAGTGTGGAACAGCCCCTGTCATCATGCACCCCGAACTGTAGAGAACTTGTGCACACGTACAATGTAAGTATACCCATACATGTCCGGCATTAAGTTTATAATAAACGCGTAGGCGGGGAAACTCGAAGGGAGTAAAAGGTCTGCTGATCCGTTTCCTTGCGTGTACCACAGGGTTCGATCTCCGAGTGTGGAGTCTTTGGTTACGTCGAATCTCTCTCCCTAAGAGGGACACGCAAGGTCACATAAGTGGTCATTGGCCTAAGCCGCCTCGACAAGATGACGACGCCAGCGGCCGGTCGACAGTTGCGCGGGGGACAGGTGTACTAGTCCACCACAGCGGATCAATGGACTGCCATGTGTGCTGCGTGCGTACGTGCGCGCGTATTGCGTTTACGTTACCTGTCACCGCCGCCGTCGCTGTTACGGTCGACCGGTGAGGCCAGGGTGATCACGGGGATACGTTATAGGGAGGTCAAAAGGCGGGCAGGGTCCCGCCTTGAAGAGATAATACAATAATATATGTGTATACATAGATTTTATTTTATACCTCGATTTTTCCTTTCGCAAGCATTCACGCAGCCGACAGCAAACGATAATAGTAACACAATAATACTAACAGAAAACCTATATCCGAGTCAACGCTGTCGATTCTTTTCATGAAAAGTTATTAAAAGTCATTCTTTTCACTGCAATGGCCGACGGGTCATTCACTCTCGCGGCCGCCGACCGACGACGACATAATGTAATAGGGTTTGCATTATATAACGTATAAAAATATTCGCAAACATACCGCACCACCCTGCCGCATACACGACGTATTGTTATGTCATAATATGCACACACGTGTGTACGAAATGTCAAAATCTTGACAAGGACCAGCCGTCGGGAAATAAAATTACGAGGGACCCCAATGCGTATAATATCCATCGACGAAAGTAAATAATGATAATAATAACAGTAGTACTTCAATACACGAGCGATCGCGTTGAAATTTGCACGATCGCTCAACTTGTAACTATATATATATATATATATATATATGTTTATATATTTGAGACGTGAGAGTACGTATTCAAATATCATGCTCGGAACACAAACCCCGTAAGGCTTGAAAAGGTGCGTTTTTCGTATTGTATGTACGCCAGTAATGTTATTACATATGTATCGCGGCGGCCATCATCATATAGAAAACGACGACATTTTACGATAAACCTATATGTAGGTCGCATGAATATATTTACGAAACGCAGAAGAAATTGTTGCCGTGGGCTTTTCGTTTCAATAGAACTTGCGCACTATCGATCACTATAATATTATATTATACACCTTGTGATTAAAGTGCAGAGCAATTTCATGAATCGGAAGGACGTGAAACGACGGGTTCACAGGTTTCGAGGAGGAATTTCAACCTCGCCTTGCTAGATTTTTTGTAATTATTGTATAATTATACCGTTTTAAATATTTACTTGTCGACAAAACAATATTTCCACGCTATCGATTACCATACACAATTTAATTATTAAACATAGTTATGAATTTCGTTTATTGTTTCGTTAAAAAATGGAGCTGAGTATAAGAACTAAAATATACAAAAACCGATAAAAATTAACAAGATTTGTGATTTGTGTTTTTTTTCTAGGTGGAGTTATTTGTATTTTATTTCTACAAAGAACGTTTATTTTCGAATATCTTCGTCGACAGTTCAAACATAAGAATACCTATAATATATTAAACTTATGTTAAAAGTATAGATTTTAATGAACAAAATTTACGGAGTCTATAAAAATTGTCAAAAGTTATGGCATCAATTACTATAAAACAGTACACATCTCAAAACTTCACATAATACATTTAACATGTGAATAAATCCAATTTGGCTCATCCGTACCTGTCGACACGTTTGTATTCCAACCCACTATCGTCATCACCCTGTTTTTGTGTCCAGTCATGTCCCTTTTGAACATCATATTTTCCCACACAGCCAGAATACCACAACAAAGCATAATTATATAAGGAATCCCTTTTATTTGATACAGTAAGTTGGTACCTTTTATTATATGATAAGGTATAAATGTAATATTTATTTTCTCCTGAAAACATATTATATACGAATTGGTATTGTCGGTCCGACAGATTTTATATTCGAGATAAAAACATATAGTAAAGGTGGCCCACCCGTAGAGACCATATGCTAAAGTTATGTTACGCGAGTACAAGCTTCCAACGGATTTTCATCAACCGGTGGTGTCCCCTCTCCCCTAGATCCTTATCCTTGTTTTTACCCGGAACCAGGAAGTAAAGCGGCCAGTGTACATGTATACGTATGTATAGATACACGAAACAGAGAATATATACGGCGTAATAATAACTGTATCGGTCTAGTGTGACTAGCAACACCACCTGGTCACGGACCGTTTTGGGGGAGATTGGAGACAAATAACAAAAATAAATAAAATTTGTGATTTCTTTTTATAAAAATACACGGACAAAAAAAATGGCAGATGTTTTTTTCCGTGAAAAGAACAAAAATCTTAATGCATTGTGCGCACAAAGAATAAGGGTTCGCGGTGCCACGAGCCAGAATCTTTGCGTAACCTATAGTCTTGCGAGCTACAATGGGCGTAAAGAATCAATACATTTACATTATACGTATTATACTGATCGATTGCGCTACGTATGTGCACACGACTAATACCTTAAGAAATATAACTGAATTTTGTTGTAACTCAAAGTTCATTTAGGGTCATCCCCCAGCGGAAAGGATTAATCTGGCGATAGAATTCGTTTAAAAAATCCTCTTTGACAAATCGAGAAACATCATAATTCAACTTAATAGACCGTCGAAGAATGGTTACTATACAGTATAATATATTATATACACATTACGTAATCCATCAATATTTAAGCGTTATAGACACACATTTCGTCTGATTAAGCTTAA